ATGAGCAAGCGACATTAGAAGCGTCCTCGGATATCCCTGTATATATAATTATGTCGTTCGTCGTCGAGTACGAGAAACAGTAACCTCGGTATTTTTAATGGCGCTATTTCATGGCAGTGCAATACTTTGTAATGTTTCCTCTTGATTTACAAATGAATTTGTATTGCTTAGAATCTAAAATCGTTCACTCGGGTACCGCCAGTCCGGCTATTAACAGACGAGCTGTGCAGTGGGTCATAGAAAATCAAAGAATTTAAATGTCTACAAGTATGAATGCCATTTTGGGACCGAAGCGATAATCTGCCGTATATAAGCTTTCTATTTGGTGCACTACTACTAGAAACATTACACTGTCAAAAAGTAAGGAAGACAATGAACATTCTGTGTATTGGGTAGCCAAAAATAAATCAGTCACTAATTTTGGGCAACGGCCACGTTTCAAGAATCGCAAAAATCAATAAAATTCAAGATTTACAGTTGGAGGCTTAGAACCGTAATGTCTATTTACTAGACGTTAGTCGTACAGATGATTATCATTTTTCCAAACTTCAACAACTTCTTAGCGGCGAAATTCAGCATGTTCAAATTTTAACATGACGCTAAAATTTACCTCCAAGGCCATCGTGCCCCGGACTTCTACAGCAATGGAACAAACAGAAATGACAGAAGGTCACGATAGTAGTAGCGCGTACTTCGACTGGAAGTAAAAAAAACCAAAAAGAACTACGAAAGTTCAAAGTATGCAACTTCTAACTATTTTGCATTTCACACTAACTGCATGTACCATCCGCCATCGCGGAGACGAGATTTTTGTTGAATATAACCGAGAGCATTTGTAATACTGACACATCAACTACAGTTTCATCAATTTCAGCATTAAAGCAGAATTAGGACATCTTTAAAACATGTCATCTGACGGATGATAATTCTAGTTATTAATTGCGCAGTTTTGTTTTGCAAGTTCGACTGAACTTTGTAGCCATTCTGGAAGCTCCGACTTCATATTTAAATAAACGAATGATCCGACATTAGGAATCTTTGCTACTAAAAGTCGATCCTGGCCAGTATTGTACTTTTTGCCTCATTTGGCTAACCAATACCGTGAGATGAAGTCCTTCCATGCGCTGACCCAGTTGTTGTGCTGTATTTAGACGGTATTGTTTATAGTGAAGCTGGTATGCCGTTATCTGTCTGAGTATTGCCTGAGTCTGAACTATTTTCAATGATCACATGCTGCTGTGTACACACCTATGTAAATTGCTTCTTGCTCCTAGCTACCATTTGAGCTGAACGGTCCTTCCGCGTTTTATTCTGTGAACAGTTATTTTATCCACGTCTGTCCACTTCATTAACAACCGTTATTATACCATCATTGTCTTTGCACCGCTACACGTGGTGCTTTGTTGTTATTATTATAGTGAGGCATTACAGTTTACGACTGCTGATGAGGCCACCACCTCATACCTCTGTATGTCTATTATTATCTCTGCGTTTCTGCGTGAACAAAACGTATCTGTGTTAAATGTTTTTATGTGCTAGCTATTTTAGCTGCCGTTTCAGCCACAACGAACCGTAGCCAATTCAAGCCCGAGTTAAGTAGCGATCAAAACACCATCGACAGTTTCGTTTATCGTGAACGCGCGGCCTATATATATATATATATATATATATACATAGTATCTCAAAAAAGCACTATTCTGTTGTCGTTGCTTGATGCGAACGGCGGACGAAACGGCGCCAACGACGATTGCAGGCGGGTGTACCTGCGTCTGCAAGGCTCAGAGGATCGGCTACTAGCGTCGTAACTGTTACTAATGGCTAGAGTGAACCACATAAGCGGCATCGCTACATACGGTCGTAGATAGCATTAGCAAACTGTTCGCGCTGTTCCACTTGTGACGGTTACGACCACGATGGCAAATGTATTTGTTGATGTCGATACAGATTGCTCTGTTGGTATAGGCTGCGAGGTCGCAATGCTGTACGTAATGTTGCGCCTTCTCTTTCCTTGACGAACTGCTAGAATGTAAACAACAACAATATGCACATAGCGTACCACTATCGTGGCCAAACGCGGTGGCAACAGCTTCAACACTACGGTTTTTTTTTGTTATAGAATGCTGTGGCCGACACCGCATTCGCCCACGGTGGCAGACAGGTCAACTGTGGTAGCAGTGACAGGGCAAAGAAAATAGCTGAGGCTTATCGTTGCTGCCAAACCCGAGCCGGCCAAACTCAGACATGCTCAACTGCGCCATGTTGATGTCGTGCTCCGTGATGTGCTGTCGCAGCCAATCAGACGTCTAAGTCCGGGCTACGAAACGGAGCAAACAACTCGTCTATGGTTAACCAGCAGTACTGACGAACATCGCCATCGTGGTGAAGACACTACGTAACGTGTTAGTTTTCGTTGTTCAAGGGTAGCATGACGGTAATAGTCCTGGTACCTTTGCTGATATTTATACACTGCCAACACCTACGAAGAGAAGGCTTCTTCAAAGTTTAGGCTAGAGGTCGCTTGAAAGCTACTTACGGTGGCGCTGTTGTCGTGCTTAGCTGCTATACGCTGGTAGCTTCTGTCAACAGACTTGTTCCAAATGCGTATGCGACATTCATTGACCGACAAATAGATAGCTATCTCTAAATAAGCTCTAAATGACTGGTTTATTTTTTGTGGGTTTGTTTCGAGCATTGCAACGAGTCATGGCTGCGGGTCCGAGGCCAAAGGCCGACACACAGCAAACGCCTAGACAAGCTCTCGTGCTTCGTCAGTGCTTTCGGCTGTCTAATTTATTCACCATATAATGTCTGCTAATCGATGCGGTAGTGACCCTTGCATTATCATAGTTGCTTTTGTCCGCCCTAGCAACAACCAACGGGGCCTGTCGTGACTTGCTGTTGCTATCCTTGATTCATTCTTCTTTAAGGGCACATGACGTCTGAGAAGTCGCTGGCACTAGCGTATGCGTATAGAGATTAGTGTACAATCTACCGGGCATTGTCTTAGCCGCGAAGTGAAGGGTGGTACGGCAATAAGATCGCTCGTTTTGTTCTCCCTCGTGAGAGCGATAGGGTAATGGTTGTTGACACAAAAGCGTACACAGAAAACTACGCTTCTACGGTGGTTCCATTGCAACACATTCCGCCGTTTAGTACGTTGAAAGGTATTCGTGACCGGTTGTGACTTTTGGTCAAAGCTGGTTAGTCACTATGGTAGTTCACTTTGTGCGTCGTATCGATCAGCCATTACGTTCACATTGCACAAATGTCACCGTGATGCTACGGTACGTACCTATTCTTGTTCTAACACTCGTATGGGTCACAGACAGGTCGACTGTTGCTTGCAGAAAGTATGCGCTTACCTAGGCCACTCGCGCGTTCTGCGATCATGTGCGGGCTCATCTGTTTACCGTTACGAGTAGCTTAATTAATGTTTCTCTGACGGTATTGGAATAGATGATACTGTAGCTAACTGGGGTAATCCCAAACAAAGACAGCAGAGTGGCCGCTGCAAGGATGACAGCCAATAAATGCCAAACAGCGCAATGATCATATGTACTAACAGGAGATTAAGTTACAAGAAATATTGTTTACGTTTGGTGCTATTGGGTACCTCATCAATGTTCAAATGTGATGTCGGCATAGAAAAATTTTACATGGAATTGTGATTTGACAAAGATATTTCATCAACGAAAAACCAAAGGTAGAAAAAAGAGCCATTGCAGCATAAGATAGCAAACTGAAACCAATTGAAGGCTAATTACTTTGTTAGAAAACGTTGGTTTGGAAACAAAGTAACTGAAAACTAAAACGTGATTATAGTCAAATGAAGATACGATGAATTATTACAGCAACGATGCATTTATATTTTCTTTATTATTCTTTCTTTTCTTTTTTCTTTTTCTTATTAACTACATTGCGACGACTAACAAATCAACGACAACGGGTCTGACGGAAAAAAGAGCAATGAGCAAAGACTACCTACCTAATAGATGTCGATGTCATCGTGTTTGATTTATGTAAGCGTACGGAGTACGCTTAAAGTTGAAAGAAGCGTAAAGAAATGAAAGAAGTCATTGGTTAGGGTCAACGATGCGAGGTAAATACACCAATCGGAACGAGAACGAGTCACGGTTGGAATTAACGGAAACATCGTTGGACCATTTTCCAAGTTATTTCATTTAGCTCGTTCTCACTTGGTTCGGTTGGTATTCTATGCCACGTCTCCGACCTAAGTAGATGAACAACGTTGATATTTACCAGGCGGGACCGCTAGTTAGTTCCTGTAGGCGGTCTTGCATTACTGGGCCGTTCAGTTATGCGTGCGATTTTTTTGTATGAAAAAGGTTCAAGTAGAAAAATCCATAGAGAAAACGTTCAACGAGTCAATTTTTGCGTAAATCCATCCAACTTGCTTACTTCGTAAAGCAGTGCGATGATGAAGGGTCGGGCCAGCAAATATCAATTGATCATATGCGCGATACCATGCGGGCAGCGTATAAACGAACAAAATCCGGCCCGGTCAACGTCAAAGATAACGATGTTAATGGCTAGACTCTGAGAAATGGATCCGATCTTCAGTGTTAGCTTTATTCAAAAATGTTATGTCCGTTCGTGCAGGAACATGAATTTATGGACCGATACGATCCATGAATGGTGCTCGTTTACGATCAAGCAATTGTCATATTACTGAACACGTAGAAAAGACAAGCAAGAATATGGTTATCATTTTATATTTCATTCCTTAATTGAAGGTGCTTTTAACAGACCACCCGCTCTTTTACATTGGGCTAAAATCTATAAATGTCTAAAGGTATAAGTCTACGTTATGTATTTTACATTTAAAGGACTAATTCGTATCGTGATTTAAGCATATAGATTTGTCATGTGTGTAGAGAGTATGACCGCTGTTTTCATGAAGTCGTGGAGTAATTTTCCAGGATCTTATATCCCAACCATCTACATGCTTGTTCTAAGTTTTATCTATTTTCTCATTTCAGCATCCTTTTTCTGACTAATTTATCTTCTGGCGGATATTTAATCAGTCGAAAAATTCGCTTCCATATAGCAGCGCAAAATGGCCGCGGTGTATCTGGTTGCCATCTTTTGGACGTTGGGAGGTGCCATTATCACGTTTATGTTAGCAGCCTTCATCTGGGTAGGGCTTCTCGTGGTACTCAGAGACACAACTAAGAAAGAAGATAAAAAATCAATGCTGACGTTGGCACTTGGCAGTGAGGAAATTTGCAGTCGTGTGGCCACATGTATCACTCCATGTCCCCGTCTTAATACCCATGTATCCACCTGCCCTGTCGAGGATATACTCAGGTATATCACAAACGGGAATAGGGTATGTATACAAGCTATGCAGGGGACTCGTTGCATGGAGTTCGAATTTAACATTTCTATGACACGGTTGATAGTAATCATAACGACGAATATACGATAGGATACGATAATAAAGCTGAATCGGGAAATGTGTAGATATCGTACGGCCTCACACAGGCCAACACAGTGACAGATTTTTCGTAAGGCTAATGGTGAGCAGAAGTGCAGCCGAGACACCACGCTGTTAGCCTTCCGATTTCGAAACAGCAAGCCTATATCTCAACCGTAAACGTACTAAAAATCTCATAATAATATATAAAATAGATAAATGTTACTCGCAGGCGCTAAATAGTGCCAAATAGTACAGTTTGTTGACATGAAAAAAAATATAGATTCGGCTGTCTACCGTTGCCGGCGCTGCTAATCAACCGAGCTAGTTGATAACCTAAATTTTAGATAACTTAAAAATACGATTTTTTGAACCACAAACTAATCGGTAAAGGTGAAAACTGCGATATAAACCAGGCCGATATGCTGACGAGACGAAAACTTTACCACATTTTTACATTGTCCTGGACAGAAATATAACATTGTCTCGTGGCCCTGCTTTCAGATAATTCTGTTCATCGTGAGGAAAGAGACATCAGGCGAAGTTGAAAAGTTGATACAATACATTCAGACTCAGGTGGACCTACTATATGCTAGTAAGCCAGTCCAGAATAGGCAGCTTTATTACTCTCTGAGGTAAGGTCATCATTGGAAACGGAATGAATCATTTCTTAATTTGTTAGAGTATTATTAGACAGCTAGTGTGAAAGTGCAGCTGCAAATATCTCAGTGTTTGGCAGTTTAGCAAAAAAGAAAAGGCCTATGCGTGCTATACCTAGTGACATTTGTTTTTAAACAATCGCAGCCGACCTAAAAAAAAAAACAGCAAAATTTTATAGTCCCACTCATAATAGTATATCGAATAGATTTGTCCAATAGGTTGATTCGATTACGTTGTAGTATCGGAACATCAGTAAAAGGTGCTTTTGATATCAAGTGCGTATACCATCGTTATTAAGTGTTAATTTAGTGTTATTAAACAAACTAGAAAAATAACACCAAGAAGATACATCAGCTGCACTATATACATATATACGCTTTGTAGGCTACTGTGACGATATATCACAGTTTCCCATATAGTAATACAATAAAACATAATAACAGTGTTTAAGCATCAAGTGATACTTTTTGACGAATCCATAAAATGAGACTATCTCTGTCGATTCATGTCTGCGATTTCTAAATTTGATTTTCTACTTAAACAATATCAAATATAAACATACGCGCCCCAATTAGCTGTTCAGATCGTCCCGAACACATAACAAATCTACTTTGTAATTTCATTTTTCAGATACGCTGTTTTCGGTATCGGTGACACTTCGGAGGCTCGCGACGATTTCAACCGTCTTGCGATGAAGATCGATATCAACCTGAGACTTCTTGGTGCCACTCGCGTCGTTCCGCTAAGGCTGTATGACTCGACAACCAGCCCCGTTACGGTCGAAGAAGAGTTCAACGAGTGGTTTTTGGACCTTGCCCCGGAAGCTGAAATCTCTGGGTAATTATTATAGCCACAGCGGTTTGCATAAGCCATAATGTGTCCCTTTTTCACACTCGACGCCAATTATTATTATAATTATTTCCAGGTCGTATAAAGCAAGTAACTTGAGATATAGTAAGTAATGCTAATGGACTTGGGTATGCTATGTTATGTGTGTACTTCTCTGGAAAGTCTATGCTATTTATATTATAGCAAAAAATGTGTTCTTGACTGATCTTCTTGATTGAAAAAGTTTATTGAAAGATGCTTAAAAACGCTATTGTTTGTATATGCACTTGTTTGGAGCCCACGCCAAATACTGTGGTCGGAAAAATCTACACCTAACCGTTTACTGCTCGTCTATCTTGTATGGTATAATGACTATTTAAAGGACCTGTGCATTTTCCGTTTTGCTGTTCTCCGATTTCAGAACTCATTCGGAAATTGCGGCTGTAGGCTGTGATAAAGTAAAACCAAAAGGAATTCTCTCCAAAAAAGAAGAACATCACGCGAGCGATGATGAAGAAGACGAAGGATTCGAGTTCGAACCTTCAATAGACGGCTCTCAAGCGCCTGTAAGAAAAATGAAGGCACCAATACCCATCCTCAGGAACCCAAATCCAAGACCCCCCACACCTGAAAAGGACGCGAAGGAAAAGAGTAGTCCTAGCCCGGATAAGCATGTTCCTGACAGTCCACCTCCAACCGGGAAGGAGGCTTCCGATAAGGAAAGTCACACCGCTCCGACTAGCCCAGATGTCAGTACCAGTCCAACGAGCAATCTAAGCCCTCGAAGCCGCCCTAGCGATTCTCAATCCGACAAAGGTTCAAGCTTCGTCAGCCCTAAGGCTAATAAGGGTGAAAGCCGTAGCCCTCAGAGCAGCCCCAAAAGTAGCCCCAAGATCAAAAGCAAAGCCAGCCCGAAAAGTACCAACAAAAGCAAGCCCAGGAATCAAGCTAGCCCTCAAAGTAGTCCTAAGGGTCCTAAAAGTAAGAGTGACACCAGCTCGAGAGCGGGCGGAAAACTCCATGGAAGTGGGGTGGTGGCCGATGAACCTTTTAATTCTGACGATGACTGGGAAGTTATGGAAGTTCCGACTGATATGTAACTTTAATATATATTATACATATATATATATATATATATATATATATATATATATATATATATATATATATTGAAACTAATACTGATTTATCATTACTTTTGTAACAAAACTAGAGAGATAATAACTAATATTGGGAAGTAAAGGCGTTACCGCAGTGCCCAGTGGCATGGACGTCAGGCGCCAAGACTTTCGAGATGCAGTAAAAGCGAGTGTGATATATGGAGAAAACGTGAGAATAAAAAAGCATGTATGTTAGTCATCAACGCAGACAGACACACATACATACACACTATAAACACCACAAAAGGTAGACTGGCAAAAAACATCCCCGAATTGGCCTGCCCGCTACCCAGTCGGGGTGGTAATCAAGCGCGTTTTGCAGAAAATTCATCAAAAAGCTCGAATGATCTATCTAATCTACAATAAAGACAGCAACGATAGAAATGAAATTGAACGCAGTGTTAGTCGATAGAATATTGACGACTGACTATAATTGTCTCATACATTAATTACATTGTCATTGTCTGTATGTATTAGATGGTGCAGAATAAACAATAATGCCAGTTTTTGACCGCATGACAACAGTTGACTGCTTTGCCACAATGACGACAGGATAAATGATCATATTACTCAAAAATCTGCCACTACGCAAACTCGCGCGACAGGTCCTGGGTTTATATCCTGGACAAGCACCCTTATTTATTTATATTTATAATATTCTGTATATTTACACAAACTGTGTGAAATAAACAATTGAACAAGATGATACTGCAACTGAATGGTGTGTGACTGATAAATACTGGACTGGTTTAACGATAAGTAGCAGGAACAAGCATCCTCTTTGCGTATGTATCTATTCATGTGTTTATACTATGATATTTTATCTATTATAGCTCGGGTATAGTATTTGGCAAAATATTATCATTCTGCGTCCGGTATCCTCCAGCATCAAGTAAGTTCAACTTTACGCTGCGCTGTCCGAACCTTCTCGCGATTTCCTCATGCCCTATGATCCTCAGGGATTTCTAAAAGAAACAGATGAACTCCATAATTTTGGCGTGCAGCGCCATTGAGTGGCGCCCCGCAACAAGAGGCCCACTCAATTAGACCTCGTGCCGTTCCGTCTAACGGGACTGATTTTCACTCTCCAGCGGTAAATTTGCATATTTTTGGTCAACGGAACAAAAGAAAAGAACGCATTTTCCTAGCCTTTTCTCCCAAAATGACACACACTGCAGTCGGAAAGATAACACACTACCCGGTGGCAGGTTGGCTAGTCTACTTGCGCTTTTCGTACTATCTAGTTAGTCCACCACCCATAATCCTAACCCAGACGCTCAAATTTCTCCATGCCGAACCTCGAAAAAAATGAAATATGCTACTTTTGTTCGATGTTCTGTAATGAAACCTTGATGTTCGGCGATGCTTTAGCAACCGAAAATAGATGGTGGCTGGAGGTCGCGAGATCAGCTGATTGCAATGAGTGCTTTAGTGATCTTTTTTGCAATTGTGGCATGCTGTCCTGAGTCACCCATGCAGTATCTGCCCCGTGTGAAACACATAGACGGTTTTCCTGAGCTAGAAGCAGGGATAGGGCCCGAATTTTGCGCACGAAGTTTTTTGAATCGAAGTTCTTCTAGAAGGCGGGTCAACACTACTGCGCTTTCAAGGACAACACAAACTTTGGCCGGAGCGTGTGGTACAGTGTCCTTGAATTCGATTTCGAAGAAGAATGTCCTATGAATTAACTAACGAAAGTGGTCCATTTTGAGCGCCTACAAAAATTAAGTAGGTAAAATAAAAGGTTCGATCATAGCATAGAGCAGTCTTTTGGACAAATGACGCCGCTAAACGCCGTCAGGTGGCCCAACATTTCAAAGAAAATAATAAGCATCGATGCAATGCGATTGCTGTCACAGTGTTGCCTTATTAAAACTCAAATGGCACTTCCCTTCGTTACACGCTGCATCTCTGTCCTCTATACCTCACTGCCGTTTACTTTGCACTATGAAATATCTGATGGAGCAGCTTGGTTTCAGGTTCTCTTTTTTCATTGTTATCATAGTGTATTTATTTTCTTTCGACCCCGTCACTTTCTATCGAACTGCCGTCATTGAAACGCCGCTGAAATACGCGGATATTCTTCCATACGACGAAGCAATCATGAGCTTAGTGCTTATCTGGGCCGTTTCATTATCATCTGTTCACTTGAAAGAGGCATCTAGTCGGCACGAGTTCTACAAAGAAACGTCTTCAGCTTCATTTTACTACGACAACCCGTGCCATTATAGCACGCTATAAAACCGACACACGTATGCACACTGATTATCATTGTGTCTATGATCACTATCGTTTCATGGACAGCGTTGAAGCACGGATTTTTCTAGATCACTTAGCATTATTGTTATGATCCTGATAATTGATTACAATTACCTTGACGGAAGCACTGAACAATTATTAGACCGTTACAAGCAAATGCGGTCCAGTGTCAAACTGATCATTCTTTCTTTGAATGATGACTTTTAAAAAATGTGTTAGGTGAACTCGTCCTTACCCAACTGGTCTAACGCTCTGCCGTATTCTAGATCATTGTCATCTATCTACCATTTGCATTTCTACATAGTATGTCTCCATCCATTGCTTGCTCACCAGCTGTTCGTTTTAAGGCACTGAAAGAATTGTGACCCAGGTCGGAAGAATGAGCGCGCTGGAACCGTTGTTAGGTATACCTCTGCTCAATTCAGAAAGTAATTAAGGTATGGCGATGTTTTATCGGGCAGTTTTGTCGCACACGGTTACTTAGTTCTATTTTAAAAAAGTGCAATGGTTGCGAGGTGAAGCGTCGACAGGTCAACCGTAGCAAAGCGGTGGGTCGACTGTGAAGGGACCAGTAGTCAACACATCACCTAACTTTTGTTCTCAACGCCATCACGATGGACCTATTTAGCGGGCCAATTAAGAATGCATTATTATCCATAGCGGATGTAACGATGTTCATTCTAGCAAAACGTAATTGCGCAACAATTATAATGGTAAGTGACGATCCGAAGTCCCTTCTAGCAACCTCTTCTTAAGAGAATGAAAATCATTCAACATATTAATCACTTATACTTGTTCTGGACGTGCCGAGAAACACAACCATTAGACCTAAATAATCCTTTGTTTGAATGAATAAACAACGCGATGGGAGAAATCCCGACCAGCAGCAACTCCCCTCCCTACCCAAGTTTTGTTTTGTAAATACCGTTGATAAAACAACGTCGCTAACTTTCTACCTTACTTATCTTACTATCTAACATTTGCATAGTGTAAGTGTTAGATAGTAAACTTTTTCCGTCGATAATTCTGTTCCGCTCTCATAGGACCAACTCTGCAGAACCTCTCTCAACTGCGATTCGTTGATCGATGTTATGCTACCGGAGTTGGCCAGTTGATCAATAGATATGCTTCTTAGTATGAAGTGTGATGAACACTTTATACTTCATACTCCAAGCTGACTCGATCGATGCGACGTTGTGTACTTTTTTCTATCTGAATGGATATGTATTTTTTACGGGATTGCCCACTCAGATATTGTCTACTAGACTTTTGGCGTAGTAAGCCATAATAAATCAGAAGAATACTAGCGAGTCTTATCTCGGTGTTACAGCAGCAGAGAAAGCTTGCTGCGTACATCTCATCTTCAGTAAAGGTTTTACAATTAAAAACACCAAAATGTTTTAAAAAATCCTAGCAGGAAAATGAACAATTCAAAAATCTTGTAGGTCTTATGGTAGACCTTTTGTAAAGTAGCATAACGAAAAATTGAAACATGTGGTAGAAGTCAACCTACTTCAAAGCGCACGAGTATTAGCATTTAAGGCTGGTACATGGTAAACAGCGTACTTGTTCATATAGACTAGATTATTAAGGTAAAAAAAAAAAGAGTGAACAAATGGTTTTCAGCAAGATTCGGAAACATGCGGATAAACGTTTCATTGTGACCTGTCAAGAGATTGGGCTCTCTATTATAATGGCAGACGGTCTTGTCAGTAGGTGGGTGGGTGGGTGCAACTGAATCTACTTTCTGTATGGTGATGTAACGTCAGTGTTATCCAGTTCAGCTTCATAAGCCCTCGTCCATTCGGTTAAAGTTGAAGCATACTGTCAACACTGAGAGGAGAAAATCAACAATGTGCCCATTGAGTGGCCAGTGAATGGAGGTAAACGGTGCTTGTTGCGTGAGGGTGCTTGACCTAAAGTTATACTTGACAAATAGACGGAGGCAACTGAGGGCTCTGCCATCCAGCATAGCCAAATACTGCTCTTAAGAAATTGCCATTTTTTCTGAATCTTGACAATTCTTTTATAGGATTAATGTGCTCAATTCTCGACATTTCATGGATCATTGTACCTTGGACTCTTAGAACAACAGAATAAATAAGTTACCATATAAATGGCAGGGGGCCATAGATAATAATGGTGCATACTTTGATCGAAAATAAAATAACTGAGCTTATAAAAAATGGAGTTCATTATACTGCGTTTTATATTGCCGATCCATTATTTATGTAGCCTGTTCATTAGAAGTATCTCATATTCAACTAAATGCAGATGTTATCGATCACGAAGCACGATAATATCGTAGATGAATCAACAGTGAGGATGCATAGTTGTTCAGAAGTAAACATTAGATAAATCGGTTCTCAACCCCTATGGCCGAGATAGTCGTTTTGTATGGTAGCAGAACAATTGACAATTTTCTATTTCGTTTAACAGCAAGATATATGACACAAAAAAATTATCGCATTTTTTTACAGTTACGATCAGATGGGTCATAGACGGTATTCCATACATTATTCTTTTCCACGATAATTGAAAAATGCGCTGATATGGAACCATTACGTATTATGACAAGATTATGTGGCACTTTGAGCTATAGCTAAGCTTGCTTAAATCTGTCACACAATGAACCATAGTCTAGGGCAATTTGAAGTCCGCATTTCGGGAAAATTGGGTCTCGCTTCCCTAAAATAAATAGAATACACTGCGTTAGCACAAAGCATCGTGCTGTGACTATCTAAATGGCACATGTTCAGCGGGTAAGTATATCTGTCTACGCAACTATATGTCGGAATATGTTGTGACGAAATTTGTGCAAACAGCGAACGGACGAGTGTCGATAGTCCGATCGATATATCGATCATCGATGAATACAACGTTGACAGTATAACTTAGCTATGATAAGTGGTATCTTTTCGCAAAATTTCCGGAAGTTACGCGATCTTTCCGCTAATCGAGCAGGGTTTGGCAAGTCATGGCTAGAGAAGATATGTCGCGTTTATGCGGCTACTTTGCAAACTGAAGCACGAATAATTGATTGAAATTTAGACTGTATCAATGCTAGCCCACGTTAACACGTTAGTAAACTTAATCAAAGAAACACAGGCCTTGTTTGTGCCCCTTGCAAACAGCAACGTGCGCGTGGTTCTAGACCAATTTCGTCATGCTTGTTTATACGTTAGGGCAGCAGCATCAGATCATCGTGCCGTCATGCGTGAGCTGGTACCGCGCACAGAGGGATAGCAAAGGTGAGAAGAAAATTTATGTCGGAAAAATCGTACCCTGAGTCCTACGCTGAAAAAGGCGTACAGTGAGATTAGGTCAATGACGAATCATAAAACAACCGCGTACAATTAGGTGCCCAGTCAAAGTTAATGGGAGCAACATACTAAAGTTATCGTACGGCCCGAAGTAACTTATAACGGCCCGTAGCTAGCCCATTGCCATTCGTCTGCGTCTGTCGGCAACATGTATGTATAAAGCGCGACAATGTTAAACAGTTCCATGCAATACAGAACGAGGGCGCAGTGGTCAAATCATGTGTGGTCTTGCTAGAGGCTAGCTGCGACAGCTACAGTAAAGGCTTCTCATCAGCTATCGTGTGCCTCGACTGAAATGTCAAGTTGCGGTGGTAGCGGATGGCTGTGCGTAAATCGCATCTAATGGTACATTCATCACCACCGAAACTACTACTGGATGAAGTGTTTAGCCATAGCGTACAGCTGTCTAGCTCTAGTTTAGACTAACAACCAAAGAGCTATTCAGCCAACAACCTTAGGACTTCCAACTCTTTTGTATTCCTCTGTTCAGCCCCCCCCCCCCCCCGCACTCGGAGGTTCTTCTAGGATTCATTGGCTCGTCGTGTCGTCGTTCGTCGCTATCTTCGTCGGCCAATTCGTTGCTTGCTAGTCAGCCACCCAGCATCAAAGCTAGCGCCTGGAGCCATAGGCACGCTATAGCTGCTCGTTCGTTTAGTGTCTGTCCGTACTGTTTTTCACTGTGACTCAGCAGCTAGACCCAGCGTCGTTCTGCCAGGGTACCACCACCCACCATCTAGTGCACGCCAGTTGGGCCTTTGGGGGCCTACAAGTACGCGACTGTACATTTTAACGAAGTCGACAAGGGGGCGGCGCCCACTTCTCGTCCAATGGAGGCGGTCCTTGCGGGGCGGGGCTTATCGGTCCGGCCAATGATGACGCACACTCAGATCTGTCGACGATAGTAGCGCCCTCTGCACTTTACATAGGGCCACTCTTCTGGAAGTAATGTGCGCTTACTCGCGCATCGCTGGCTCCACTGTAAGCAAGAGATGTTTGTTTTCGTCGTCCCCCAAAACGCTGCTGCTACTGGTCCCGCCGCAGCTGGGCCTGCTGCCGCTTGACTTATCGTGACTGACTGTGTGACGCCCGCGCCTCTTCGACTTCAACCTATTGCGCCTTTGACGCCTGCCATCGCGTTGCCACCCTAACCTAAGCTAACGGCTAGCGGACGTTCGCGTGCGCAAGACTCGCGGACGTAGCTCAGCGCATCTAGATTGACACGGTGGTGGCGACGACGCTAGCCACCGATTCCCCGTCCCGACCTCATTGCCACCGTCGCGAACGACCAAGGACCAGGCGAACGTACGCAACAACCGAAATACCAAGGTCCGCTGTTCCACTACTTGGACGCTGCCATCCCGACCGATAAAACGGCCTAAGGTTTGATGACGGCAGCAGTGGTCTAACGTGGTGGGAAGACATTTCAGACAATCGAGCCGAATAAGCAGAAGAACGGAAACAAGTGACCGTTTCATAGTCTCTCAAACCATTTTCAGTGCAGGCGGGCACAGAAATACACTATTATTGATTTGCACGTATAACTGTTACTATCGATCGTGAGCTGACGTGTCATTCACCAGTGGTGCGTGCGATCTATAGCAGTTTGGGCGGTACGAAGTCGTCCAAACAGAACAGGCAGGATGCTCTGTTGTTAATCGAACTTCTTGAAACACTATAGGACAATTAACAGAAAGCAAAGACGGGAAAATCCCGTGTCCAGTGCCTTTGTTCGTTTTCCAAGAAGGTTAAAGCGCGGTGTATTCCTCTTCAACGTTCCAAAGCTCAGCGTACGTTTTTCTGTGTGTCAAAGTGAAATTTGTAAGTGCTGTTCTTGTGATTTCGCTTCAGATTCTTATTCGTAAGCTCAGTCGACCACAACGACTTAATATGTAATGGAGCCGATGCGAGTCAATGATTCTATGGGCGAAGTATAAAAAGACTGGAACGTGATCAGTTGTGTTGTTTTGAAGTGGAGGTGGTGTTAACCTCTCCTGGGGTGGCGGTACGATCGGAACGTCGGTCGCCCCTGCCCTGAAAACGATGGGCCCGTGACTGCAAACCCCAAATGTGGACTGACCTTTGTAGTGTGCAGTGTATATAGTCTGTACATAGACCGTACATAATATGACCTAGAGAAAGACGAGATATAGACATTTATCTTCATCGCGTTCATTATCTTCAGAAACTAGCCTCACTGGTCATCCGAAAAATACAACAACATTATTGCGACAGACAAAGCAACATCACCGTCATCATTGAATACAATTCATTGATTACAGGCACGGCTTATTACGCTGCTACCTTTACTTTTCATTGTACATCATCCTTTACAATCGCTAATCAACCCCTATTCCACCAGCTACGCTATTATTACCACAATAACAATTCACCTGTACAAATTGCCATAACATCCTGTTTTCCTACTCGTGTGTACGTCACGGTAAACAAGAGAAAACGGAGACAAAATAGCCATTCTACTTCGGGGAACAATAGCGCCAGGAAAATCATCAAAAAAAATACAGCCCAAATCAGACCTGATCAATCGATGGACGATCTGCTCTAGCAAGCACAGCAGAGAGTACTGCTCTCCATTGCTGCAAACAATACTAATATAGCACAATAACAATAACAGCAACAACAACAACAAGGGCAACAACTTATGCGACGATTTCGTCATAGTAGTCGGCGTTCGATCACGACCAGATTAACCCTTCCTAATCTTCGGTGACATCAGCATCGTTGAACCCTACGGGGCTGCAACCATTACGTCAGCATCAACTCTTAAAGGTGAGAATGAGAAAGAGGACATGTAATCGCATTCGCACAGAAAAAAAAAACCAAACAGGAATACATGAAAAGAGTCCCGTACGTCAAACATATAACTGAATGATGTAATTGTCTCGTCTGTTTACAAGAATAAACCAAAATAGCGCGGCGTGTCTAAGCCGAGCGCTACTATACGTGCGTCAAAAACACCGAACTCCACGTATGCCCACCATACGCTTGTGAGCATGGGAACGTCGAAACGACACTTTGGTTCGGGATTCGGAGGTTTTTGCTACAAAGTCGGCACAGATAGTTAGTTTCTCGTTTTCTAACCAGATTTCTATTGGTGCTCGAAAACGTGCACGAACTCACGAAGCATAGATATAATAATAGTAATAATAACAACGGCTTGCTAGCAAAGTACTGAAATAAGATCTGTTATTCATAGTAATCGCTCGTTATTTGTACAAACGCAATGAAATGGATGTTTATTAACGAAATGTTCCAGTCGCACGGTTCGCTTCCCTGTTGTTTTCCAATCTTCTCGATAGTTTGAGACTCCGCACTAGGATTGCTTGAGAGAAAAATAAACGTTTCAGTTGCTTCCATCGCAACCGATATCCTGTCTGGCGGGACCCGAGCATTTTTCGATGTACTTCGTTAATGTTTTTAAGATTGTTTGACGTAGTCATGGCTCCGAATTATGTTTTCATTCTGGGTTGCCAGCGATTTTAGCTAATCGTCGCACTATCAGAAATACACACTTTTCAACCGAAATTTCAATAATTGCTGAGAACAATGCACATCCGTATGTATATATATATATATATATATACATACGGATATACAGTAACATAGCAACAATAAACAACTACGACTCAACGGTCCATCCTCTCTTTGTGTTTGCAAGCATGTCGGTAGATGATTTAGATTTATATTTACAAGTTTTCGCCAACCTATTCATCCGCTTTACATTAGGTTTTTCAAGAGCTGAAAAGCTGCCAGGCTGCTGGCTTGATGTCTAATATTTCCTACTCTACTTAAAGTAGGTTTTCGATAGTTTCTGTTTGACAGTTGTAAACAGTCGCTATTTGATGAGTATATACGATCCTGCTGCGTAGTGTTCGTCATCTCTTTTTCGTCAAACGATAGCCAATGACTTTATTCTTGACGATGTTGCTACCACAATGTGACTTTCGTATGTCGTGTTTTTGTCGGACCTTCAACGACCTATCAGGGACCTTAAGTCGATTGGAGATTCAAAGAGAGACTGTGCCGGCGTTTTTCATCGGCTCATAGAATACACTCCTGCAGTTGTTGCGATCGGCTCTTGCGTGATTGAAGCTAACAGAAGCCACTATAAGCTACGGAAGCAAAGGAGCTATGTGCTCTAAGTCGATTTCTTCTGCACAAGATGCTCGAGCAGAAAATTACGCGCGCGCCTAGAAGTAAGCTCGACCAAGGGTCTGAACAAAGCAAAGAAAGACATCATAAAGAGATTGGCGACGCTGCTCGAACATGCTATGGCGAAACGCCAGCGTTTCTTATAATGTCAAAGACGTTGGACAATACTTGTAGCCAGCGATGACAGACAATTAAGCGCAGAGTTCTCTTTGGCTATTGTGTTAGATACACACAGATCGAACAACGAGAAAGCGAAAGGGACTTGAAGATGTCTAAGCTACTGAGGTACTCTTAACGTGGCATTAAAGATATACATCCGATGCGGTAAGCGTAATAATTGCTATCGCTTCTGGGGATCGTTAAACGGCAAGCCGACCCAGTACAGGGATCCAACTGTAGCAAACCACTGCAGCCGTCAGCCATATTTAGGTTCTGTCTATGATTTGGTGCTCAGAATGCTTTTCCGTTATAATTGTTTGGTCATATTATATTTGATTACTCGTTCCTTGTGAAGAACAAGTCAGTTTGCATAGTGCCGCATGTGTTATGTGTAAGCCCTTATTAGCCTGTAGCAAATTTCGGTTCGATGTGTCGTCTCAGGCCTTCAACGTGAAGTCAGCTACGAGCATATGCGTTCGTTAGAATGAGGCAATAGGAACATCAAGGGGAAATGACTCAAAGTCTCGCTTTATTTACTAGCAAACTTAAGGTAAATCTTCTTGCGGCCATTTATGTCATAGTCAAGTCTCAATAAAATCAAGGTTCGTACCGTTTTATTGCTTTTACGTGGCAATTAATGAGGTAACGCGCAACGGAGCAATTTCCGTAAGAGAATAATCTCGTGCGAGACAATTTGATGCCGCTATTCTAGACAAACTGCAAATTTAACCCTTCTTGTGGCAATCAGTACCACATAATGTGCCAGCATGGCTTTTCTACATGCTCGATCCGAATTTCAGCCTGTCCTTCACTACTAATTTATCTATAAGCTGAAAAACTCGTAGTTATTTACTCAAACGGTACTTGTTCTAATAATCGAATCCGTCTCGCTTACGGTGAAATTATTGATCCCATTGGTAGATTGACGGGTAATTGCCAGAACGCACACCTCGGCGGTTAGCAACGGGCAATCATCCCCCCCGCCCCTCAATGTGTGGGGACTCAATGTGTAGCCTAAACAGTGCCGTCGCTCGAAGGGTCCTGGTCGAACACAAGGCACTAACAGGACACAGCGGGAGAGTGCGGCCAGCGATGAATACATTATGCAAAACTGATCTGAATATGTTATTTACACCAAGAGATGCGGCTATGTACCGTATAGCACACACAGTGTTGGTTAGAGTGCATCTATCGTGAATTTGTCGCTGTTGCTTAATTTGGTATCATCGCGTGGCCCGCTTTTAACCTCGTTAGATTCTCAAGATGGACAACAAATATATACAAGAAGCGACCGGCTGCGATAATTACATCATGGCTGAAGTCATGTCCAGGAAATGAGATCGACAGCTTTTTGCCGAAATCCTTGAGCAGTTGCTAGAGTTAAACGCAAGCTTATGCAAAAAATGAGGCGCGTAGTTACATAGCGCCGTGTAGATTTACTAAAATTAACGTATGTTTTTAATGGCAGGTATGATCAATCGGAATAGGTGAGCTTATCGAGGTTATTGACTGGTAATAAGAATCTCCTTGAGAAAGAGAATGTCACAGGCTCTAATAACCGTCAAAAAGTAGTGACCATTTACGGTCGGCCATTTTACCTTATGATATCTGTGTTTTTTTTTTTACTACCAATTCAGGAGTATTCTGTAAATTTATGGTACGCTTCCGAAATCCGCGCAGGCTATCGTTTATTTCAATTTATATTATTCGATCTAGTTGAGGCTCTACGCTCGTACGAGTTAAAAAGCTGTTCGCTTTAAATGACGCCTGTATTACGGTAGCTTTCACCATCATCCGTTCTTCAAGCAGCATTCGTCGACGAATTGGTCTTCGGCGGGTAGGCAGCGAGAATCTTCATAGTTGAAGCCCCTCCCCGACACGATTTATTAGGAAAGGTCAAAAGCAACGGGTTGATCTGCATTCAGCTTGGTCCATTTTGACAATGCAGCATTCCTCTACCAACAGCCATAATACAATCAACTTCAACATTTAAGCCTAATGATCCAGTTGGTGACACCCTGTTCTTCTGAGGACCCCAGTATCAATTAATTCAATTAATGTCTAACTGGAACGTGTGTGTGTTAAAACAATTTCATGGCTATATCATATAGGCTTTGTACACCCCAACACATTTTTCTTGCCTTTGACAAGTTTTTGTCACGAATCAAATTAATTTTTTCTTCATAGTACGTACACAATCGCACAGCTTCACTGCGCAATGTTTGAAGTCAACGTTTGACCAGCATATTACGAGAGGTAAAGATGTTAAAAGGCGTCATTCCCTTGAGAAGAAAAGTCCAAATATGAAGTCTGGTGCATGTCTATTATATAGCTCTTTTCGCGAAGTAATATACCCGAATGAAGAATGACATAAGTAGCATAAATCTGCCAACAGTGACAACGAAGCCCGAGCTAAGCTGCAATCGGTCCTTGATAACCCGCAGCATAAACTCGGCGGGTCATAGGGCTGCGAATCTGAACCTGTTTGAACCTCCACGACGGGTTCTGGACATATCATCTCAGGCTAATCCCCGGACACTTGCGGCAGGTCAAGCCGCAAAGTAAACACGATTTGTCACTACTACTACTACTATTCGAGAGTGGGACGGTGCTGACTGTCTATCGAGAGGCTCTGTTCGAGGATCAAAACCTCAGACTCAGCACTGTAAATTGACAACAGGGGGTCATCAAAAGGCTCTCAACGAGAATGGTGCTATCCAACAAAGGATTTAACTTGTATGTAGATATATATCAGAAAGCTGTGATCGAGAGGGCGGAGTGCTCGAGGGATGATCTGTAAACGAAAAGAGCCCTTCGAGTTGGCTTTGCAGATTCGATTTCTCTTCGATTTGTGATCTTTTCACGTTTGCGTATTATTTTATGCAAATGTATAACCGTTAAGTGATTGAAATCCGTCAGATAAATGTGTTACTTTAATGAGTTAGCTTGTTTTCGAGGTGTGTAAACGAGAGCAGGGGATCTGGGATAGCTGAATCCGAGGCCGACTTCTACCTGCCCGATGAATTAAACTGTGAGTGAGTCTCAACTAGGGGTCTTCTTATATCAATTATATATACATATGTTTTTTTTTTTTGCGAAACATAATGCGCGTTAGGCAATACGACGCTTAATGCGCTCAGGGCCGCGCACCTTATAGCCACTTTTTGTATAAAATAATTGGCATGAAAAAATAACGTGTCCTAAAGATCAGGCTTAGCGGAATATGCCAAGCGGTGCTACTAGCTGACTTTTTCCGTATGTTTCAGTATAAAAATATTGTCTTGTAAAAACGATGATTTCCTTCTATGCTTATTTTACGCGTAACCCTGAACGGCTTCGTTGAAAGCTATATCATATACCTTTTTTCCGATGAATTACGACGACAAAGACGCTCTTAAGACAGACGCTGCTCTTCATATTGTATCGTTCGCATTAGACTTTTCTTAGTTTTGTACAGG